TGAGTGAGTGAGTGAGTGAGTGGGTGAGTGAGTGATTGAGTGAGTGAGTGAGTGAGTGAGTGAGTGGGTGAGTGAGTGAGTGAGTGAGTGAGTGAGTGATTGAGTGAGTGAGTGAGTGAGTGAGTGAGTGACTGAGTGAGTGAGTGAGTGAGTGAGTGAGTGAGTGATTGAGTGAGTGAGTGAGTGAGTGAGTGAGTGACTGAGTGAGTGAGTGAGTGAGTGAGCGAGCGAGCGAGTGAGTGAGTGAGTGCGTGCGTGAGTGAGTGGGTGGGTGAGTGAGTGAGTGAGTGAGTGAGTGAGTGAGTGAGTGAGTGAGTGAGTGACTGACTGACTGACTGACTGACTGACTGACTGAGTGAGCGAGCGAGTGAGTGTGAGTGAGTGACTGACTGACTGACTGACTGACTGACTGAGCGAGTGAGCGAGCGAGTGAGTGAGTGAGTGAGTGAGTCAATGAGTCAGTGAGTGAGTGAGTGAGTGAGTGAGTGATATGGAAAGTAGAAACGCTGCGTTGTGTGTTCCAGGTCCGTTTGAAGCCGACTTGCGGCCGGGTATAATCGAGTCGTACCGCTCGGTGCTGGTGCTCGTCCCCTCCCCGCCCAGTAACCCAGACTACGCGCTGTTCGAGAGAGAGGTGGACCAGAAGAGCAAAGAGCCGCCCTTCAACTTCTCCTCAAAACTCACCAGACGGGTACGCTGATGTTTTTTTTTATTTATTGAAACAACAAAGTACAAGACACAGAGGTGGAAACTCTAGCCGAAGCTAATATCAATCACACCCCTGACATAGAATACAAATTACAGGTATGACAATGACAAAACAACAAATGAGCGTTCGTATATACAAGACTAACGGCAATATAAATCATTCGGCAACTGTAAATCGTTGGGTATTAAGGTTTGAGTAAGAATCAGAATTTTTTTGTTAACTTGATGATGTTGATGATCTTATCTGACTTGATATTGATAGAATTTCTTCTCAATTGCTGATGGCAGCATGTTTACACGGAAGCAAATCATTAGTAATTTTTCTAAGAATTGGGCCAGACAACATCTTAGTCCAGTACAATAGCTACGGATACCTATGGTGATATTTAAAGGTTTGCTTTGTCCAATAAACAATTCTAGTAACAATACTTAGCATTTGGAACCGTATGTACTCGTACCACTATGTTGTGACAATACCTAGCTCGATCTCACAGTAAACAACTCATATATTAGCCATGATGAAGATGACAGACGGTCATCGAAACGTTGGCTCATGTAAAACAAATAGTCGTCAATAAAGAACTTCTTCTTTTTTGTTTTTGTTTTCAGATTCCCCGTACTGCGGCCTACCTGTACGACTCTGTTATGATCTACGCGCATGCGCTCCACGGGACCATTCAGAAAGGAGGAAGTGTCACAGACGGACAGGCCATCATCAAGAATACAATCAGCAGGCAATACGAGAGTAAGGAATATAAAATCATAATATCAAGAAACATAAAATCATAATATCATGAAAGTTCATCTGTGTTGGTAGTTACATGTTTAAAGTTTTAAAAAACTTTAGATCCAACACAAAAAGTTCTCTCACCTAGAGCTGTCAACATATGATAGTGGTATATGAGTGTAATGTTTGTATAGAAGTGTAACGTTGTCGTTTTTATATGATTGTGTAGTATGAGTAGCGTTATGTATTTTGGAATCCAGGTGGACTAGTTGCTTTTGCAGTAGTCACTTTTGCAACTAATGGATATCCCAATAAAATATCAAAGACGAAGTGGCAACAAGAGATCCGAGATTCCGGACCTATGGGAAGTGGTTCGAGTTTTCGTGAATGCATTGGAACTGGTCAACTGTGACCTTCGGTACTCGCAAATACGACCTTCTCACAGATAGAGAAATCCCACAGGATAAAACACGTATCTTGTTAGAACGTGGCAGAAAACCCCCGAAGGATAATGTACATATCCCAGATCGTGACCACGCACAATTTCTACCCGCAGAATCGGTCTTTTCCGCGTAAGTCGTTCATTTCTCCGTAATTGCCAGATGAAATGGGGCAATAGTGGATTAAGAGTTAATCTCCTATATCATTATATCCTGAGTGATAAAGTAATAGGCAATTATAGGATATCACATCGCGATTTAAGGCTCGTTAGGTGATAAAGTGTCGAAACTAAATGCGACTGACGCTTTGCGGAGATGAAATTGTTATATGAACCACATTAATATTGGTGCTAATTTTACCGTCGCGTAGTTTGTGGCTTGGGGAAAATTTTGCTCGCTACAGGTCTTTAGGTGCGATGTGGGAAGAATCACAATATTAGGGTCGAGCTGTCACGGATTTTGCTCAAGACCCCTTTGCAGGATTTTCAATTCTCATTTTGTTATCAATTCTGCTCGGGTGGCTGAGCTGTGGCTTTGTGTGTCTGCTTGTCCCAGTAGCTTCGCTTGTATGGTGGGTGGGAGATGATTTTGACAGTAGATTGATGGGGAATGCAATTACTACTTCCCATTTACTACTTCAAGCTTTACCTTCCTGCAATCCAATTGACCAAATATATCCAGTCATTTCCCTTCAAACATCTCTGCTGGGCAAAGCCACACAAAACCCACCGAAAACAATCCTCCGTACCTTTGACAAAGACTGGGGTTGTACAGCCGAAAATTGGCGTAAATCCAAGCCTTTGTGTTGGAAATTACAGTTTAAACTTTCCTCATACTGACAACACAGGTGAACTTTCAAGATACTCCGCTGTTAATAACTGTATCACCACTACGTTCCGCAGGCGTTCTTGGGAACATGATGTACATAGACCATAACGGAGACGCCGAGATCAACATCACGGTCCTGGCGCTGAAGCCGTACTCGGACCCGGCCACGTCAGACCACACGCACGGGCTGCTGCCTGTAGCCATCTTCCGGGAGGAGGACGGCAGGCCGGTCAGTAAGGCAACACGCCATTTTCCCTTTTGTGCTACGGCATCTTTGGGCATCTTTCTACAGGGAATGGGGCACATTAATTTTAGACAGAGACATGTTTTGGAATGGGACACGTTTTGGAATGGGGTACATTTTAAATTGAGGCATGTTTTGAAATGGAGCGCGTTTTGGAATAGAGCATGGTTTGGAATGGGGCACGTTTTGGAATGGGGCACATTTTGGAAGGAAGCACGTTTTGGAATGAGGTACATGTTAGATTGAGGCACGTTTTGGAATCTGTTTTGGAGGACGGCAGACCGGTAAGTAAGGCACCTCGCACACCGTCATATTCCGAATAGGGCCATTCTTTTTTTTTATTAGTCATACACACAAACAGAATATAGGACCTAGTGGTGGCGCCCTTAAGTTGGGAACTTATTTTGACACCACCACTAAATGAATACATACAATAAAGAAAATAAACATACACTTCAAAATATGTACAAAATTAAATTAAGGGTATTCCAAATGCATTCAAAAGCCATTCCTGTCTGTGCCATTGCATCTTTATTGATAGTGCACGTGTTAGAGTAGGACACATTTTAGACGGAGGCATGTTATGGAAAGGGGCACATTTTAGACTAAGATGTGTTTTGGAATGCAGCCCGCTTTGGAATGGAGCACGTTTTGGAATGGGGCACGTTTTGGAATGGAGCACGTTTTGGAATGGGGAACGTTTTAGAATGGGGAACTTAGACTAAGGCACGTTTTTGGAATGAAGCCGTTTTGGAATGGGGTAAATTTTAGATTCAGGCATGTTTTGAAACGCAGCGCGTTTTTTAAAGGAGCACGTTTTGGAATGGAGCACGTTTTGGAATGGGGTGCATGTAAGATTGAGACACGTTTTGGAATGTGTTTGGGGAATGTGCAGTCATAATCGTGAATATGCGAGGCTTTAGTTCTGTATTCCATTTGCGTGGATTATTTACGTACAACAGGGAGCTAGTATATTTGGCTCTACAAGTATAAGAGAATGACACATCAGCTATAGGATTCTGTGAAGACCCTTAGCTCTGTTCTCCAGGTGTTTCAGATCACGGCGCCAGACGGGATAGACTGGGTGGGGGGCACACCGCCTCTGGTGGAGCCACCATGTGGGTTCAGAGGTCAGAGATGCTTGACACAACCAGGTGAGGCAACGTCTGTGTGGGAGTGTTGTCTGTTTATTGTAATAGTATGTGTTGTATGTTTGTTGTAATAGTTTTTAGCTATATCATGTAATTTGTAACCGATCTTGTAACGCCGTAATTTTAACATAAAAGTGCAATAATCTAGTGCAATATTTGATGCTTATGCTTAAGTTATGTATGTATTGTATGTTTGTTGTAATAGTTTTTAGCTATATCATGTAATTTGTAACCGATCTTGTAACGCCGTAATTTTAACATAAAAGTGCAATAATCTAGTGCAATATTTGATGCTTATGCTTAAGTTATGTACATGTTAGATATATTCTACCTGTGTATCTCATTGTAAAAGCTGCCCATATCAGCCTGCGGGCTGCAATTAGCAACTTATATGTATGTTGTATGTATGTTCCTTTCGAAATAATAAACCAGTCTCTATATATATAATTGTCACTCACGTGACTATGACGTCAGAGTTGTCCGCCATGTTGGGTGGTTCAACCTAGAAGTTGCCAGCTGAATTTTAATTGCGTTCGGCCGAAAAGAATGGTCAAGCACTCTATATGAAATATTGTAAGGTATATATAACTGATGATACGACACATGATTAAGACACCACTCACAAAACATTTCCATACTTTGCCTTAAAGTGTTTGACAAGTGTCCTTGTTTGTTGTGTTGTATTATCCACAGATTTCGCTGCGGAAATATCCGGCAGTGTAATAGGAGGCCTCTGCCTGGTGTTGTTCATTATCGGACTGGTCGTGTACAGGTAGGAAAAAGTGTCTTCAAGCCCCTTTCATATCATTGTGGGCTGATAATTGATTGTAAAGACTGACCTACAGCGGTTTCCATTGTATTGAGACTATCCGTACCTTGCATAGAAGCCATTGCCATATACCTTGTAGTACTTGAATGTCGTGCTATTATGTATGGAAATGATTATTATTATATATAATATGTATTATATAATTATTACAAACCTGAAGCTGATGTGCGATGTTTTCGTGGCCTGTCAGAAATTACAAGTACGAGTCCGAGCTGGCCAGGATGCTGTGGAAGATTGACTACAGGGACATCGTGCGGCGCGGCATGAGGAGCAAACTCAACACCAGCAGCAGGGTCAGTACATCTCTCTCTCTCTCTCTCTCTCTCTCTCTCTCTGTCTTTCTCTCTCTGTGTCTCTGTCTCTCTCTCTCTCTCTCTCTCGTCTCTCTTTTAGTTTGAAAGGTATGAGAACATGGATATTAACCACACTTAAAATTTTATCACATAATATGTATAAACTAGGGCTGCGGACCGGTACACTGTACCGGTCCAATACCGTAAAAATCGTTTCGGTACAGGTCCAAAATACCGGATCATGAAGTAACGAGTATATACCGAAATATCTAGTTTACACTTTACACCATGTATATGACTAAAGATAGGTAACATACATTTTGTTATATCTAGTTTTTGTCAGTAAGTGTGTTCACTGTTCAGTAAGTGAGTCTGTGAGTCTGACTCTGAGATTAAGTGACTGAGAACTGAGAAAGGAAACATAATTTAACTTAGTTATGTTTGATGTTTTCTGAATAAGTTGACAAGTTGTCAACACTTTATTATTGTTTCTGTGTCATGATTGAAAAAGTGAAGAACACGTGTTAATTTGTCAAATTGTTCAGGTACAGGTACAGGTCCGGACCTGTACCTAAACCTCTGTACCGGTACCTGTACCTGTACCTGATGTTACGTTTAGGTACGCAGCCCTAGTATAAACCATTTCAATTGCGCAGTTACAGTAATACAATTTTGGCAACGCCTCTGGTGCAATATCAAGAGCATTGTATGTAATTAGTCTGCAAGAATTCTAGAAACCCCACAGAAATTTCTGTAACATTCTACGCACGCGAAGTGAAGATCTGTTTTTTGTTCCATTTTCCCACTAGTGCTTGAACGTTTCCCAGTTGACGATGAACAGTGACACAGCGCAGGTGTTCGCTCATGTCGGCTACTACAAAGGGGCCACGGTAGCCATCAAATGGGTCCACAAGAACCACGTGGATCTAACCAGGAGCGTGAGAAAGGAGCTGAAACTTGTAAGTAGAAAAGACAGTGATTCTCTGTTTTGTTTTCCGAAGTGTCTGTTTGCGTGTCTGTTTGTATTACCGCAGTTATTTCCACCCACATGTCACACTACAATATCAATCAGTCTGTGGGGCCAGTTCTTGTTCTTGTTCTTGTTCGGGTACTGCACAACACCCCTAAATTGGGGTAAAGCGTGCAGGGGAGTTGTGCGATGCGTTATTGCTGCGTCCTCAGGTGTTGTAGTACTGCAGCGTTGAACTTCGTGGGTTCCGCAGTATCTGTTATTTCTTGAGGCAAAGTGTTCCAGTCTCTGACAGTTTGTGGAAAATATGAATATTTGTAACAGTCTTTATGAAATGATAGTGGCTTGTAATTCTTAGTTATGGGGTGAAAAGAGTGATGGTATTTGCCATGTATCCATTGCATAGAAACCGTCTTCGCTTGTTGTCTATTTCTGCCTAATATTCGGCGTTTTGATTTTTTGTTCCACAGATGAAAGACCTTCGGCATGACAACATCGCCACCTTCATCGGCGCATGCGTCGACTCCCCTAACATTTGCATCATTACCGAATATTGTACGAAGGGCAGTCTAACGGTACGGTGTAGTTTTACTTCAAGATATCAATCTATTTGAGCCACATCATAGGCAAATTCCAAAAATTTTGCGTTACATCAGACAATAGAAACTATTCAAAATGATTGAACATTAGATACTGAATTGCTTATGACGTTTATATAAATACCATAATGTAGTGTGTTGATAAAGGTTTGACATCCAGGTAATAAGATACGCCAAAACAGTTACTAAAGCTACTAGATATGGTTTTGGAAATGGTCAAACATTCAAAAGATTGTCTTCTCGCCGGTTGAGCAGTTAGTATTGGAGGTGCTGACAAATATCTGGTGTTGTTCCTCCGTACTGTAGGACATTTTGGAGAACACGGACGTCAAGTTGGATACCATGTTCACGGCGTCCATCGTCACGGATATACTAAAGGTAACTTCGAATTCAGCGTATTTGTTCTGTTATAGAAACTATGAAAAATGCACAGTTTACCTTTACATACTTGAACGTCTGGCAATACGACGGGCCCAAGACTTAAACGTGGCGTAATTGGTTAACAGTGCCAGGAGGCTGGTACCGTTGGCTGTCTCTGTCTAATTCTATTAATAGCTGGTGTGCCTGCATACGTGTTGGGGCATCAGCAAGGTGTCGGGAAGTCTATATCACCCCCCGTCTCACTCTAGCGGCGGTTAATGTTGAAGATAGCTTCTTTTTTTTCGTAAGATGCTCGTTTACCACAGTCACTGTGTGTATATTAGGGCATGACCTACCTTTAGAATTATTGCTCATAGGTATCTTTAATGTGACGTCAAAAACTGGTCAAAAGTGCCTTTAAGTGCTTATAAGCCCACCACCACCACCAAGTTACGGTTAATGTGTAGTTTCTAACATGCTCGTTCACCACAATCACTGTGTGTACATTATCAGGGCATGATCTACCTCCACTCGTCCGAGCTGAAGTCCCACGGGAACCTGAAGTCCTCCAACTGCGTCGTGGACAGCCGCTGGGTCGTCAAGGTCAACGACATTTTTATGTTTACCGAAGGAAAACGTATTATTTTTGCTACCTTTGCTCTTCTTCTCCAAACCAAAAAGGTCAATGACCTGAACCAGACTGTTACCGTGGTAACTAGTGTTGGGTTATGTCGCATCATGTTGCAATTTTATAGCAGGAGGGATGTAGGCTCCTGTCACCATACATGTATATATGAATGCGTTTAAGTACGAATTAACAGAGCAGACCATATGCGAAGGTAAACTTTATGCATTTGGTTTGAAAATGTTACCTTTCTAGTTTAGATAATTTTTTATCTATTTATGAATCAAAAGAAAATAATTCAAATCATAATGCTGATAATGAAAAACTCAAGAAAATAAAGTACCCCATTTGCCCCAATGCCTATGCAGATTTCCCGTTGTTGTAGCTATAGGATATTCTATTTTATAAAAGAAGTTAACATAATTAAGAAAAGATTGAAAAGTCACATTTTTGGCCTTTCTACTTTTAGGTGACGGACTTCGGGCTGCAGGAGTTCAAGGCAGGCAGCAAGGACGAGGCCGGCGAGCATGCGTACTACCGAAGTACGTTTGTTAACTTTGTTATTCAAGTACTCTGTACTAAAAGCCGCCGCTAACAACAGATGCTCAGTGTGCATTCGTCTAATTAGCATGTTTCTGTTTGTCTGAACAAGGAGGTCTGAATCATTCGTTATTCATGAAAGCTGGCCGCTCTTCATTGAGGTCATGGGGGGAAAGTAAAATATATGATAACGATACTTAACATTATTTAAATTCTTGCATCAACATTATTTAAATTCTTGCATCTATACACATATTTTACACTTACTATGGTACAAAATATATACATTTTCATTTCAGGAAATATGATTTTCCGTTATATTTTCCTATCTATCCCCAGACCTGCTGTGGAAAGCGCCTGAACTGTTACGCGACCCTAGTGCGCAGGCGCGAGGGACGCCCAAGGGTGACGTGTACGCGTTCGGCATCATTCTGTACGAGATCGAGGGCAGGGAGGGGCCGTACGGCACATGCGCAGAGGACCCCAAAGGTCAGTAGGTCATGGCGCATGTCAAGTGACGGCATTTCAGCACCAAGGTCAAGGAACTTACTTTCTTGCTTTCTTCAATCTTGAATTATCGCTAAGGTAAATGATGTGTGTCTCAATAATTGAAACCCTTTGCACATGGCCCTATATACATGGCAAAATCTGTCGTTGTATTCTGATATTTTTATGGTAGTAAACACGAAGGGAGAGCCTTATTTAGAGCTGTCGACTCCAAGACTTTAAATCTTATTCTTGTGCTCTATTATTCTCACGTAGACTGTAGCGCAAACTGATGCGTGGTCTGTGTCACAAAGTAATACACGATGAACAAGCAGTCCGACTTGAACTATATTATGTAACGTTACCTGTACACTGCACGAAAAGTTGGATTTACCAAAGGTAGTAAATTCAGGTAATGTTAACTTTGTATATAGCAGCTGGCTTTACAATGGCAGTAAATAAAAGTCAAGTCCGGTTATTTGATTTACAACCCTTGTTTTAAAAGTCTGGAACTTGACTTTTATTTACTACCATTCTTAAGTCCAGAAGTGTTTATTTAAATAAAAAAAAGCAAAGTAAACATTACCCAACTTTACTGGTATTTACTGCCAATGGTAAATCTAGTTTTTCGTTCAGTGGTATAATCATGACTTCCTTGGTTCCGTCGCGCAGAGATCGTGGAGAAGATCCGCGGCGGTACGGACCTGTTCAGACCGGACACGCAGCACCTGGACTGTGAGAAGTTCGTCATTGACGTGATGCACGTCTGCTGGGCGGAGTTACCGGAGTCACGCCCGGAGTTTAAGGCCGTCAGGAACCTGCTCAAGCCCATGAAAAGGGGCATGTACGTACTTTTACCTTCAATTCAACTCTATCAAATTTATATGCGTCTTCTTTTGTCAGACCCACCAGTAGTTTTTCGTAGGGCTTACCAGCCTTCGACCAATCAGATACTTCCCTGCTTGTAAGTGGAGGTAAATTTATACTGGCCAATCACTTCACCGCTTGCGTGGGGTGTGGGAGTGATTTTGACAGCTGATTGAAAGGATGCGAGTATGTGGGTAGTACTTGGAGGAATTCAGGAAGCGGAGTGATACCCAACATCATACAATCCCCTCCACAGTTCCAATACATTTATAAAAACACAGTATACTTCCAGGAGGTCCTTGAACTTGAAAGTAACAAAAAAACTATCAAAACACTTTTTGTGGTTTGGGTTTTTTTCTACCTCAGGAAGTCCAACATCTTTGACAACATGATGAACATCATGGAGAAATACGCCAACAACCTGGAGGAGCTTGTGGAGGAGAGGACGCACCAGCTGGTGGAGGAGAAGAAGAAAACCGACGCTCTGCTGTACAGCATGCTGCCCAAGTAAGCTTTGCAGAGCAGTGTGGTCTTATCTAATGATGTGGTTTAGGGACTCGTTACCTTCGTCGTAAGATCTTTGTAAGATTGTCTGACTTTTGTTCCTTTTTTGACTTCCAAAAATTTGTCTTCACTTTATTTGCATATCAATCAATAGTTTGTGCTTATAAACCTGCATTTCCCCTCTGGTCTCTCAGTCACTGACGAAAGCTAGTGGATACTAGCTGAAACGTCTGACGTTTTCAAAATCATATCCAGTTGCTTGAGTAACTGCTTTTTGGCGTATCGTATTACCTGGATGTCTAACCTTCATCGACATATCTTTGTAAGATTGTTGCAAAATGGAGATGATGTAGGAACTCAGTCCTGCATGTGCCCTGCAAAATTCAGCCGCTTTGTCACCGAAATCGCTACCTTTCTTGAAGTGTATGACCAGGCCCTAATGAGTTTATATATATATATATATATATTTATTTATTTATAGAAGTTGTTGTCCAAACGGTAATTGAATTTCATACTAGTGTGTTGAAAAATGCGTTACTGAAAGTACTGTTTACGAGTACTGGATTTAGGATAAGGATAAGAGTGTGGACTTGTAAGCATCATAGCAAGGTTCACGAAATGTTGTTTTCGTCAATTCGCTTTCCCTTCTGAGCAAATAAGACTTACATTGTGCTGCCAAAAATGCAGAAGCGTCTGTATATTGACCACAATGATGCCCCATGTTCTGTAGAACCGTAGCAGACCAACTGAAGCGAGGGAAAAGGGTGGATCCGGAGTCGTTCGACATGGTGACCATCTTCTTCAGCGACATCGTGGGCTTCACGTCCCTGTCAGCGGAGAGCACGCCACTACAGGTTAGGCTTACACACACATGTACAATACAGACACATGCACACACACACGCGCACACAGACACACACACACACACACACACACACACACACACACATACACACACGCGCGCGCGCACACACACACACTCTCTGAAACACACACACACACATCGTGGGCTTCAAGTCCCTGTCAGCGGAGAGCACGCCCCTGCAGGTGAGGGTTAGTCTTAATTTTGAGAGAAAACATACACACGCACACACACGCACATGCTCGTGTTCACACATACACATGTATACACATTACACAAATATACAATACAGACATACGCACATACGTATGTATACACACAAACACGCACCCACAAATACACACAGACACACAGACACACACATATATATATATATATATATATATATATAATGTGTGTGCGTATGTATATATGTATATATGCACACACACATACACAATACAGACACATCCATACACACATACACACACACACACACACACGCATACACACACACAGTCACACACACACACACACACACACAGACATGAGACACAGCTTGTACTAACGTCACCTACCGATTTATTCCCGCACGTCACCTCCATCTGCCCTCCATGCCCAGGTGGTTGACCTGCTGAACGACCTGTACACCTGCTTCGATGACATCATCAGCAACTTTGACGTGTACAAGGTGGAGACCATCGGTGACGCGTACATGGTGGTATCAGGTAACTATCCGTCCTGCAATGCAACCCACCTGTACTAGAGGGCGCTATTGTGCTTTATCTACACTCATGTTCGGACAACTGTTAACATCCCGGATGTGTGTGTGTGTGTGTGCGTGCGTGTGTGTGTGCGTGCGGGCGTGTGCGTGTGTGCGTGCGTGTGTGTGTGTGTGTGTGTGTGTGTATGTGTGTTTGTGTGTGTGTGTGCGTGCGTGCGTTTGCGTGTGTGTGTGTATGCGTGTGTGCGTGTGCCTGTTTGTGTGTGTGTGTGTGTGTGTGTGTGTGTGTGTGTGTGTGTGTGTGTGCGTGTTAACTCGAGAAGGTTTAGATGGATTGTCTTGATATTTGATTGTCTTGATATATTTTACTGAACAAATGATACACTAACAAATCATTCCAGGTCTGCCCATCCAGAACGGTGACCGGCATGGCGGTGAGATCGCGTCCATGGCGCTCGCCCTGCTGAAGGCCGTGTCCAGCTTCAAGATCAGGCACAGGGGAGACCACAAGATGCACCTCAGGATAGGCATCCACTCAGGTCAGCACTGCACTTCAAACTGTTTCCGCATGGTGCGCTGGTATCCTATATTACACAACTTCTCGCTGCCGAGGCATGTATAATGGTATGGTTTACCTCTCTAGCCAAGTCACCAATCACTACCGTTGACTCTTTTCCGTTATATTTTGTCGTTAACTCTGTGGTTTAGCTCTTCAATTGCATTGACGATGGACGACGATGCAGTTACAGTTCCATTGGTTACTGACTGAAAGGTAGTGCCCTTGACCATGAAGTAATTCCACTTGCTGCATTGTCACAACGTTGCCAACATCAGTATCTGAAAATATTTGTAGAAGGCAAAAAAAAAAAAAACATTTCAAACTAAAATCGTTTCCTAATTTGACAAAATGCTCGTTCGGATCCGTGTCCACCAATTTGTCCGTTAATTCAAATACCAGTCACAATTTCTTCCCCCGAACTGGTACACCTCTGGTAGCCGGTCGACCTACGTCCATTGTCTCCAGAAAAAATCTATATTTGGATCAATCCGAGTATAGGAAAGAGCTCTCAACACCCTCTCGGCCTGCCTTCTCCTATCCTCTACTAGGCTTCGGGAAGAGTCTGGAAATAGTAGAAAATGGCCAAATAGACAGCCAGGAGCTGGTTCGCGCTACGAGAGCAGTTTGCCGTTTTATTCTCTTATAGCGCAGAGTAACTCCCCCGGCATATCATCTATTTGGCCAATTTCTACTCTTTCCTGAAGCCCGGTACATGCTAACCTTCCTCAACAAAATAGGATGAAAATAGCTTTTGTTAATTGCATTTACGCAAACGGACATTTCTACACACATGACTTGCACCCCGCGGCCTGTGAGTGAGTGTCCCGGCTGGGTGTACCTCAGGGCAGCACTCTGGGGACACCGCAGGAAACGGTAATAGGCTGCGCTGAATGATGAGTCACCACGTAATGAGAGCTAGCAAGATGGCTGCAGAAATTGTAAAGGTACCCAAAAGACTATGGAAAGGCCACTGTAAACGCATGATTTCCGTGCATGATTCTCTGTAAAGGATATGCCTTTAAGCATCTAAAAGTCGCGAAAGGCACCGTGAAAGTTGGAAAATAAATGCCCTTTACGAACTTCCGGAAGGTCCACGTTAAGGTAATCTTTACGTTTACGTTTAGGGGCCTTAAAGGTGCGGAAAGTGGGAAGAAACGCGGCCTTTACGCTCGGTTTAAGCGTGCTTAAATATTAATTTTCGTCCCGTGCTGGGTACACTCCAGGAAACGGTAATAGGCTATGTTGAAAGATGATTCACCGCGTAATGAAAGCTAGACAGATGACTGCAGCTAGCCTCTACCAGGCTTCGGGAGGGTGCTGGAAATTGGCCAACTTGATAGCCTGAGAGATAACATGCCAGGGGAGTTGGTCCGATAGAGAGTACAGTTTGCCGCACCAGACTGTACTCTCTAGCAGACCAACTCCCCTGGTATGTGTTAGTTATCTCTCTATTTGGCCAATTTCTACTCTTTCCAGCCGCCTCCCGAAGCCTGGCAGAGGCTAGACTGTTGCCGAAAGCTTCTCCCCAGAGGGGAACTTGTTTGAGGAAAAAATGGCTCATTATTTCTAAGCCCCGCTGAAAGCTTCTTGAGTCATCAAGTCGTTTTCTCTCCTTGATGTTATAAGGGTCAATTCTTCTGCCTAAGCCCGGTGCGTCAATTCACCACGCGAAAATGGGTTAGCGGAAAATGAGAAATGGATAGGCTTCGCTGACTCATCAATTCCCGTATTGGTTTTGTCATCAAGGCTGCACGTTTTCTATACAGGGCTAGAAATAAACTGGTGGATGTCCCAACTACTAAGTAACTAATACCAGCCCAGAAGAGAACAAGAAATAGCCATGCATTCAAGTACCAGAGTTATCAACCAAGGATTGAGGTGTTCAAGAATTCATTCTTTCCTAGAACTATCGCAGAGTGGAACTCACTGTCACCAGGTACAGTAGGGGCATTGTCAATAGATAGCTTTAAACAATGTCTAGAGCTAGAAGTTCAAGGGTTAGGTGTAACAAGTCGATCGGTGTAATATAGCCAGCTGCCGCCGCGCCGCGTGCCTGCGAAGCTGGTGTGTTACGCCGAAAGGCGGTTATACCGGCTATACAGATACAGATACAGATACAGAAATTCATTTCTTGGAATAGGTGCACTGGTGCACCCAACTTAAAAAAACTGGGTTCACAAAAAAATTGTTTGGGTGCACCATATAGAATTTTAGCAAAAACTACTTATGTTTCATTTATAAAGAAAAATTCTACAACAAGGATTTTCTTGTTTTTCTGACGCTTAAATGTCAACAATATGATGTATTACTAAAGTAGTATACATTTAACATCTTTACATACGTAAAATGTTTGGGTGCACGGGTGCACCCAAAGAAAAAATTGGGTGCACAGCTCCAATTTTGGGTGCACTAAGGTGCACATGCACCCAGTATTTCAAGCCCTGCTTCTGTATGTGGAGGAATTCCTGGAAGCAGTGGCTGATTCACTTGTGCGTCATGTACATGTATTTTGCGTATTATAACCTATTATTGTGACGTGCTTCATCATCATTATTTTGCATGTTCGCGTGCATTTAATTTGACGGTTTCATGATTAGAATTGTAATATTATTTCGTGACTTCTACGTCAAAACTATCTACATGTAATCTATAAAGGTCTTCATTCATTCATTGAGTCAAACCAAATATTTCTTCATCGAAGTGGTCACAAGATGAAGTTCAATAAAAGTACTTATTAGAGGTAGCATTAGTAGTATTACTTTAGGGTCATATTTACTGTTTACTATTATTTCATCATTTCCAATATTCTTGGAATCAGCCATCGGGCATGAATTTGCAACAAACCTTGAAACTAAAGATTTCAAACCCACCGCGGTTCGTTGTGCAGTCCACACAGTCTCTACATTTCCATCAGTAGCACACTAGTACTTGCGCAATAGGATTGTTTGTTTTTAAATAAGTGTACTCTTGTAACTCCAAAAAGCAGTTACTCAAGCAACTGGATATGATTATGATATGAAAATCATATCCAGTTGCTTGAGTAACTGCTTTTTGGCGTATCGTATTACCTGGATGTCTAACCTTCATCGACGTACTCTTGTAACTGTTAATATGTTGCATGTTGTTGATATCGTGTGGTGACTGCGTCGAGTATTGTATATATTTGTATATGCGTGAATACGAGGAATACTAGCGGTGGATCCTAATTGGTTTCAAAGTTCTGAAGAAAGTTTTGTACCCCCTTTTTGCAGGTCCGTGCTGCGCAGGCGTGGTGGGACTGAAGATGCCCCGGTACTGTCTGTTTGGTGACACGGTGAACACCGCGTCACGGATGGAATCCCACGGGCAAGGTCAGGGTCACCTTCGTGTCTTATCTTGAAAGTTCATCTGTGTTGGTAGAAGTCATTATGAAGTAAGTTTAAACTGTAATTTCCAACACAACAAAAATTGGACTCACCCAAATTTTCGACTGTACAACTCCAGTCTTTTTCAAGGAATGAACAATCCACCGCTTCCGTGACGTCACGCAGATAACACACGTGACTCCGTGAGCAGTGGATCATAGGTTGCAGAAAGTCTGTGGCGCCCCCCGTCTCTGTTGAGGGATGGCTGCATCTTGATCTTCGTGTCTTATATAAAAGATATGTTCCACAGGATTAGACCTTTAGATAAATAGAAATATTCGTATTCCTTCTTACTTGGTGACACGGTGAACACCGCGTCACGGATGGAATCCCACGGGCAAGGTCAGGGTCATTATTACTCCTTCAACCGGCATGTCCATGTCTTATATAAAAGATACGTTCCCCAGCTTCAGACCTTTAGATAGATAGAAATATTCGTATTCCTTATTCCTTGGAGACACGATGAACACCGCGTCACGGATGGAATCCCACGGGGAAAGTCAGGGTCATGATCACACCTTCAACCGTCATGTCCATTTTTTTTCTATTCCAACTTTTATTAAATTACAAATGTCAAACCCTTCAGACATAGTTTTAGACATAGTTATAGTTCTAGACAGCTACCTTTATCATGTAGACTTTAGTTATTTTATATTCTATTTCATTGTTCTTTTATGTTTTGTAATTTGCAATTAGCCTCCGGGCACGAATTTACAATAAACTTTTCAATATATTACAAGACGTGGTGACGGCACACTCAGGTTTTTTTTCTCAACTTATTTTCATGCCGCCACTAACGCAGACATATGCATAAACGTACAACAGACATATCCATTTTCACCTGTGGCTTTACCACATTTGTGAAAAGATTGACATAAAGGTTGACGTAACTTTTTTTAGATGTCAGTCCTGAGACCAGACTGTAAGGTTTGAACCACTCACACCTGGAACGACCCCAGGTCTTTTCGACAAGGGATTCGAACCAGAACCTTGAACCACCTTGCCATCATTTTCCAGCAGCCCACGGAGTCTGATAGAGGCTACTCACTGCCGGCCTGTGCTATCAACTTGACGAATCGCTCTGTCCACACCGACTCAAAGCCTGTCAGTTTGGCCTTCTCCCGACTGTTCTACCCTCATTCAAACCCCGCAGATGTCGTTGAACCCAGTGTAAGAGTGAAATGTCAAATGTTTGACCATGAACTTGTTTACACGGCTTGCCACAAGATACCGGATCTGACAGAAAAATGTCTTTGTTCCCCACGCATCCATTGTGGCATTCACACTCCCTGTCCAAGCCATTATATCATTTTGAAGGAGATTCTGTATTTATAGTGACCTTGTAGTCAACCCTCGCTAACTATCGGGGATCCACCGAGCAAATTAACACAGGTGCCATCCCGGGGTTGTCGAATTCCCGGCCAGAGGGACACCGTGGCCCCGGCAACGTCACAAAAGCGACATCGGACCGAACACAAAAACTCATTCACGCCGCGGCCGTCCCTCAGCGCGCTGTGTTTGTTTTTCCCACCCTTTTGGGACAGTTTGTTGGCGCTACCTTCACAATACCGCACCATGCAGTTCGTGTTGCTGAACATCTTCTATTATTCCCATTCTATACTTGGTGGTGGCGATTAGAGCGATATAATTGTACATTTGTGGGTAACGGAAATCACTCTTGCAGTAGCTATAGGCCATAACTTTTGTAAATTCTCAGAACGTTGGATGACAAAAGACTGCAAGTTGGTGTTGTTGAACATCTTCTATTGTGGAGATGCCCAATCTATACTTGGTGGTGGAGATTAGAGCGATATAATTGTACATTTGTGGGTAACGGAAATCACTCTTGCAGTAGCTATAGGCCATAACTTTTGTAACTTCTCAGAACGTTGGATGACAAAAGACTGCGAGTTGGCCGGTTGATGAACATCTTCTATTGTGGAGCTGCCCATTCTATACTTGGTGGTGGCAATTAGAACGATATAATTGTACATTTGTGGGTAACGGAAATCACTCTTGCAGTAGCTATAGGCCATAACTTTTGTAAATTCTCAGAACGTTGGATGACAAAAGACTGCAAGTTGGTTTTGTTGAACATCTTCTATTGTGGAGATGTCCATTCTATACCTGGTGGTGGAGATTAGAACGGTATTGTACATTTGTGGGTAACGGAAATTACTCTTGCCCTAGGCAAGGAGATTTCAACAGAAAGTTCCTCACACTGGGCCATAACTTTCTTAACTTATTAGAAAGTTTGATGACCAAAGACTGGTTACAAATATCAAGTAGTAACACCCTTTTGGGACAGTTTGTTGGCTCTACCTTCACAATACCGCACCATGCAGTTGTTGTTGTTGAACATCTTCTATTATTCCCATTCTATACTTGGTGGTGGCAATTAGAACGATATAATTGTACATTTGTGGGTAACGGAAATCACTCTTGCAGTAGCTATAGGCCATAACTTTTGTAAATTCTCAGAACGTTGGATGACAAAAGACTGCAAGTTGGTGTTGTTGGACATCTTCTATTGTGGAGGTGCCCATTCTATACTTGGTGGTGGCGATTAGAACGGTATAATTGTACATTTGTGGGTAACGGAAATCACTCTTGCAGTAGCTATAGGCCATAACTTTTGTAACTTCTCAGAAAGTTGGATGACAAAAGACTGGTTTAAACTAGAAAGGCCAATATTTGCTTTGGAGCAAATACAGCGATGGGTTCACCACATTTTACGACATGGCAGGGAAAGAATGGGAAACACAAGGGAAAACAATGATTTACATTGATATAACTATAATATGAAGTAAAATACAACTAAAACAACAGTTGGATAGCTATTCCCTACTTTATTGGTTAGGATTTTTAATTGCATAATGCAAACTGTTGATTTTCAAAATAAAAAAAAACGTCCATGCCCGGCATTCCAATGCTGGAGCAGGAAAGCTTGAAATACCTACCAAAACACTTGAATACAGACATACTGTCAGTATGGAAATGCTTCTGTGCAGGTGTTAATCAAGTTAAATCCCAACAGCCAATCAGCAAGAAGTATAGAGGAAAGCTGCATGCCTATTGGTTGATGCCCTGCATTCCATTGTGATGACTCATGCCCAAACGTGGTAAACAAGGCACACTAATACAGTAATACATTTGCTATAACACAGCCAAAAAACTCAAATAAAACCATTCTAAAAGCCTGTATCACAATAATTTAAAAAACGCCTAGGGGTATTTGCCCACTGTACCTCCATACCAAATTTCAGGACCTTGGGCCCTAAAATGAAGAAGCTGAATCCATTTAAAAAATGGCAGGAGAAGAAGGAGGAGGAGAAGAAGAAACATCAGAAAAAGCAATATGGTTTCACCACAGCACTTCGTGGTGTGGTGAACCCATAAATATCAAGTAGAAACAGTATGGTAACCTTCTGAGTTACGCCTCGGTTACATTCGTCGTAGTACAGTTTTGATGATGTTGAAATTTCACATTAGCTCATAATTTTGCAACTTGATTATAAAAGTTAAAAGGCCAAAGACTGGCTACACATATCAAATAATAATAGAAATGTGTGTAAACTTATTAGATGGTCCAAGATTTGTTACAATCAATATCAAATAATAACTTGCATATCGATGCCCGATAGTGTTAACTGCATGCAATGTAAGCAAGCAATAGCTAACAACGTGGGCATACATAACAAATAAAACTAACAATTATTAGTAATATATTTCTACTTTTTGTTACTAGACAATTACTTTATTTTATTTTGTTTTGTTTTATTTTATTTTATTTAAGATGTACCACATTTGTGGAAGGATTGACATAACAGGTGACTATCACCTCTTCAAGATGTCAAACCTGAGACCAGACTGTAATGTTTGAACCGCTCACACCGGGAAGGTCCCCTACTCTTTTCGATAAGTGCGGTGGGATCTTTAACGTGCGTGGGGTGTGGCTCTCCCAAACACGGGTTACGCACTGTACTACAATCATACAAGATCATCTTTATAAATTATTTATTTATTTATTTATTTATTAAATCTTCTAGCGCTGAAGATCCACTGCAGCCAGGAGTGTAAAAACGTCCTGGACAGACTTGGGGGATACCACTTGGTCAAGAGGGGTGTGATCACCATGAAGGTCAGTTTTGTACATTATGTATTATATAGTATTTGACGTCACGTCCACAATGCTGTTAATTTTTTTAAATTTATTCCAACATGTAATCACAAGATGTGGTGACGGCACACTCAAGTTTTTCAACTTATATTAATGCCGCCACCAACACGGGACAATACAATACTCATTTACACCTGAGCGAAGTGAGGAAAGTCGTGTAAAGTGCCTTTCCAAGGGTACAAGATCAGTGGCATGTCAGGACTCGAACCCGGGACCTCTTGGTTTCGAGTCGAGTTCGAGTCCTGCCGCTACGCCACACGACCCCACGACTGTTAATGTGCACTTGTATAAGATGACTGCTAGTGAATATACAGGTACAGATGTACCTCGCAACTTCCAGGTTTAACCTAATCTCCAAGCAGATCTTTTTTTTTGGGGGGGGGGGTAAGACAGTATCAAATTGGCCAGTAAATGCATACAGACTGGCCAATTTGATACTGTCTTTCCCCCCACCAAAAGATCTGCTTGGAGATTAGTTTCACCATCCAACATGGCGGACGATACTTACGTCATAGTCACGTGGGTGCAGACAGTGCCGATGTCACCATTACGTTTGACCATTGTAGGCTATAGTTACATGTTACACTGAAGCGAGGCCTCATAAAAGTACTTTCCCACACTTCAATCTCAAAAATTCCTCTGCAACAGAAAGTTACAGGGGTTGACCAGCTCAAACTCCGTAATTAGATAGTTTTAGATTCTATCTGAAAAGTATTCAAGCTGTAACAAAATGTGCACGAAAAAAAAAAAGATTTCAAAAGACTAGAATTGTTCATTTTGAGGTCCTCTGTGCGTAACGCAATGCGCCGTCAGGCCAACACCATTTTGGGTCGTAACATTTTTTTTTCAAGTTTCTGACGACGTTTTTACCCAGATCCTTCGGTCAGAAACCGATTAATGATCCTTTCCATCATCTTCCCTTCCCATATCTACTCGGGGACTAATTTTCGTTTGCTGCAAATACGACGTGCCTCAATTTAGATCCATGTTTACCAAATGATGGGAAGCTTCAAGAAATTTAAGTATCGGCCTGGGACTTGGCGGGAAGCGGCAAAATTGTAGCCTCCTGTGCAGGCCTCCGGGCGGGTGGGAGTTTTGATACTGCGTTTTGTAGATTTTTTTAACGCGATTTTTGCCGGCCATCCTACAGCCAGCCGCCTAGAGCAGGTTTGTACCCGCCATGGCAAGCAAAAAGAACAAAACGGCCAAAGAACGCGTTAAAAATTCTCCAAAACGCAGTATCAAAACTCCCACCCGCCCGGAGGCCTGCACAGGAGGCTAGCAAAATTGGCTTTCGCTAAGGTAATAGAGGCGCCAGTTTGTATTGATTGGTTAAGCCTTGCCTAAGAGCCTGATCGATCTTAGCTGGAGCAACTGTACAGATATGTCATCAACACGGCAGAATTCAGCTGGCCATGGTTGTTACTGACCCTTTCCCCCCTTAAAGGCGATTTAAGAGCAGAAAAACTGGATTATCAGAGCCAATTTGCTGGTCAATTTTTAAATGTAGTATTAAAAGTTGGATCAATCTTATCACATAGAGAATATTGATATCTTTGAGACAAAAATGTAATATCGCTGAAGGAAAGCAAACCTTGGCACCTGTCTTTCACTCTTTCTTTCTTTTGGTCAAATGTCATAGAAGAGGGCTTAATGGTTATGAAATGGCGGACTTGGAGCAAGTCAACGTGTATTCGTAGAGCAATATCATGTACGCGTTATGCAAAATTCACCTGCCCTGTTACGGTAAAAGCTATCTCAGATTCCCGTCGGCAGTTGTTCTGTCATAGTCTGCTTGAACGTCCCACGACGTCACGAAGGTACGATGTCCTACATATTGCCCCCTCCCCACCTGACGCCCCCCTCCCCACCTGACGCCCCCCTCCCCACCTGACGCCCCACTCCCCACCACCAGCGGCTAGCTCAGGACACGACAGACGCCCGCTGATGAGCGCCGTCCCTGGGGACGAGTTTGCGGTCGTGTCTGAGGCCGTTAATCCGCCAATTTCCCGCCCGCCGTGATTACACACATCCTTCTTCATTTCTACTGAGAGCGGGACAGAGGTAATCTCCAAGCAGATCATACGGCGGCAAGGCAGTATCCATTGGCTGATTAGCCACAGACAGAAGGTGAGGTGGATGTGCAAACTCCTCTGGCTTATGGATACTGCCTTGCCACCGAAAGGGATCTGCTTGGAGATTAGGACAGAACTCTCCAAGCAGAGGACCTGAACGCAAGCAGCACGTATTTTGAAGTAAACTGTTTTCTGCTTGACAGAAGGCCGATAGGAGAGGGAGAGAGAAATCTATCCTCAGACAAGGTTTCCTTTTTGGTTGTTAAGTGATCTTAAGTTATAGGAGTTTTAGATCTAAAGTTTGAGAACACGAGTTGGTTTCGTCCCTCTGTGACCTGAACGTAAGCAGCCCGTATTTTGAAGTAAACTGTTTTCTGTTTGACAGCAGGCTGATAGACGAAAGGAGAGAGAAAGCCATCCCCAGACAAGGTTTCCTATTTGGTTGTTAGGCTATAGGAGTTTAAGAAGTTTGGGAACACGAGTCAGTTGGTTTCGTCCTGTGTGACCTGAACGCAAGCAGCACGTATTTTGGAAGTAAACTGACAGAAGGCTGCTAGAGGAAGGGAGAGAAATCTAATGTTGGATCTTGTACAGGAAAAAGTTCTCAACATCCACTCAGCCTGCCTTCTCGTAGCCTCTACGAGGTTTCGGGAAGAGACTGGAAAGAGTAGACGATTTGGTTTCGTCCCTCTGTCGCTCTGACCTGAACGCAAGCAGCTCGTATTTTGGAAATAAACTGACAGCAGGCTGATAGAGAAGGGGAGAGAGAAATCCATCCCCAGACAAGGTTTCCTTTTTGGTTGTTAAGTTGTAGGAGTTTGATATGAGTTTGAGAAGTTTGAGAACACGGGTTGGTTTCGTCCTGTGTGACCAGCACGTATTTTGGAAGTAAACTGTTTTCTGTTTAACAGGAGACTGATAGAGAAGGGAGAGAGAAATCCATCCCCAGACAAGGTTTTCTATAGGTTGTAGGAGTTTGAGAACACGAGTTGGTTTCGTCCCTCTGTCTGTGCCCGTATTTTGGGAGTAAACTGTTTTCTGTTTGACAGAAGGCTGATAGAGGAAGGGAGAGAGAAATCCATCCCCAGACAAGGTTTCCTATTTGGTTGTTACTAAATAATGTTAGGTTGTAGGAGTTTGAGAAGTTTGGGAACACGAGTTGGCTTCGTCCTGTGTGACCTGAACGCAGGCAGCGCGTATTTGTAAGGTAAACTGACGGTTAGGGCCCAAACTGACAGAAGGCTGATAGAGGAAGGGAGAGAGAAATCCATCCTCAGACAAGGTTTCCTATTTGGTTGTTAGGTTGTAGGAGTTTGAGAAGTTTGAGAACACGGGTTGGTTTCGTCCTGTGTGACCAGCACGTATTTTGGAAGTAAACTGTTTTCTGTTTGACAGCAGGCTGATAGTGTAAGGGAGAGAGAAATCCATCCCCAGACAAGGTTTCCTATTTGGTTGTTAGGTTGTGTGAGGTCGGGGGACGGGCGCGCGCGATGATCTGAGCCCGATTAATCATCACGGGGCGTGTCGGCCTCCCTCCCTGCCCAGCCCGGCCGGCGCCAGAGGAGCGCGGCCCGCAGTCGTCAGTTGACCAGAGTCAGGAGGTTGGCACGAGAAAGAATTCCTTCCCCGTCAGGAATGGTGTAAACATCACATAGCGATACCCTAGATCACAGTAATCTCCGGGGGAATCGCTGGCCCTGATACTAGTACGCACGGGGAGAGAACATGGCGACCACGCCGTGAAGCATTGCCGTAACCAGTGTAAAAATTTTTGTAACCGGTTAAACCTGTTTGTAACCGGTGTAAACCTGTTTGTAACCGGTGTAAAAATGTTTGTAACCGTGGTAAAAGAAAGAGGTAAAAAAAGAGGTAGAGCTAGCCTGTGGCTACCTGTTGTAAGCGGTGTAAACCTGTTTGTAACCGGTGTAAAGCTGTTTTAACCGGTGTAAACCTGTTTGTAACCGGTGTAAACCTGTTTGTAACCCGTGCAAACCAGTTAATAACCAGCGTTAACCTGTTTGTAACTAGCGTAAATCTGTTGTAAGCGGTGTCAACCTGTTTCAACCGGTGTAAACCTGTTTGTAACCGGTGTAAACCTGTTTGTAACCGGTTTAAACCTCTTTTCAATCGATGTAAACCTATTTGTAACCGTATTAAACCTCTTTTCAATCGGTATAAACCTGTTTTAACCGGTTCTAACTTAGATTGATTCAACTTACTACATTAAAAGAATGACCAGAAAATTGACATTAAAAATCCAGTTTTGCTGCCCTGAAATTACATTGGAATGCCCTTAAAAAGCCTATACCTGAACTTAACTTGACTCTGGACTCAGCCCTGTCGGGTTAAATAAGGACTTGAACTGTTGACGTCCAGGGGTTAATTGCACCCGTGTATGCATGCTGAGTCGCCCGCTAACTTTATGGCGAACGCGTTAGTCCAACTGTCAACTTCCGAGCGTTACAAAATGACAGGCAGTTTTTTTAAGCCCCTGTCACACACAGCCGAAAATAGAACACTAGCCGAACTCCCCCAACCATGGTTAGGAGTAGGTCGGGAGCAAGGTCGACACTGTTTATAATATTTCTTATGAAACTTGACAAACAATGTATCATTAGCCCAATATGTTCTTACATCTATAACTGCCTAAAGAAGCGAGAAGAAGTTGCGAGAAGAAGTTGAACTTGTAAATAGTAATGTTAGACCACATTAGTATGTATAGTTTAAGTGTCATTGCTGTATTCTTTTTCTCCTGTTTATTCGTGACCTGTACTTAGCTTGTTAGAGCACAAACGTTCAATAAAGGTCTTTCATTCATTCATTCATTCATTCATTCATTCATTCATTCATTTTATAATAGCTTCGCCGGTCGAATGTTCTAAAATG